TGCCAGCAAACTCCTTTTACTCACCTTAAATCCATGGCAGAGTTCATTGTTCCTCCTCAACTCTCCTACACCTCTTATCCACACCTCCGTTATTGCACCAGTCAAAACAGTGTTCCTTACTTACGTGCCTTTCTCTCCCCTGCCCCTGCCCTAGGACCGTGAGCTCTTTATAATAGTAGCAATAATCATAACAGCAGCTAATACAAGCTCCTACTCTGTGCCAGGTACTATGCTAAGCACTTTGCACAAAATACCTCGATTAATCTCTGTTACAACCCTGAGAGGTGGGGCCTGTATTTGCCCCATTTTACAGGTTAGGAAACCGAGACTAGGAAAGGTTAAGAAAGTCACACTACTCCTAAGAGTCAGAGCTGGAACTTGGATCCAGGGGCTGCCTGACCCCAAATCCATATTCTTAACCATTCATTCATCAGCCAGAATTTACTGAGCACTTACTATATACCAGGCACTGGGCTAAATATAATAGGTATAATGGTGAATAAATGCAGACCCATCCCTGCCCTCAAAGCCTACATTCTGATGAGAGACACAGACATCCACCATCGAATCCCCAAATCAACGTGAAAGTTACGCTTGTAACCGGTGCTATGAAGAGGAGGTCTGTGTTGCTACCGGGGCAGATACCAGGGGAGGCGGCCCAGCTCCGGGTGTCTGTCTTCCACGACTAACTCTTCTCTGTGCACCAATGTGGAGCCCCAGGTCTACACCGAGGGGTTGCTCGCTGGATGTTTCTTTAACCATCGGAGCCAAATTGGCTTCCACCCCATCTCTCTTGCAGGCCCCCTGCCCCGGGGTAACTTAACAGTACTTCCTGCCCAGTGTTTCTGAGATCCTTTTTAGGTCTCCTGTGGCTTTCCTGAAAGTGCAGCGGCTGCTTCTCTGCTGCTGATGAGAGAGTCAAAGAAGCCACTTAATGATTAAGAGACCAGAAGTGTTCTCTAAGAAATGGGGAAGCATTTTCCTGCTTTGCTCAGCCTGGATTCCCAAGACAGACTCAGAGGCATCGACGCCACTCGTTGCCTCTTTAGGGGGAAGCGTGACTAGCCCTGGAGACGAACAAAACATCTGGGGGCAGTGAGGACTGAAGAAATGAGAGCATTTGGATTTCAAACCAGAATTGCTAGATTCCTGGAGGCAGGCAGTAGACACCAGCTAAGCATCCCAGGGCCGTCTCTGTGGGTGATGGCTGATTTTCCAGTTTGAATCCTTGTTTCTCATGACTGGCAGGGACCTTAAGGATAGATCATCTCATCTAGTACAGCCCCTTCATTTTACAGCCTGACGCCCAGAGATGTGAAATGACTTGCTCAAGGTGTCACAGCTAGTTGGGGGCAGAGGGATTAAGCCCCCGGTCTCCTGACTTGTGATTCACTGCTCTTTCCCGAGCAGCCCACAGATAGGATTGTTTTTCTATGTCTAGGGCTATGTGAGTGCCACAAGGAGAGAGAAGTTCTTTAACAAGTTGCTGCTGATGGGCCACCGGAGAGCCAGCAAGAGCAATGCCATGCAGTGGATGGCCCTTACGAATCTTCCTGCCCAGGGCACCACAGCTGGGGGGATGCTGCTATTACGGGCAGCGAGGACAGGTGGCACCTAAGGACAAATTTCTCCAGGAGTCAACATCCTGACTCCCCCTCCCCTGGCAGCAGGCCCACCTGCTCCAAGCACTAGCTAAGTCTTTTAGCCAGCCCTGCTGAGCTCGGACCCACCCTATCAGCCCCTAGGTGAGGAGTCGAGAGGGCCATGCCGGTTTCTGCTGCTTTCTGGACAGCAGTGACCTCTCCTGCACCAGGGAGCTCATTACCAGTCAGGGGCCCTACGGCAGGCTCTCCTGGCAGCAGGTGAAGATGAAAGCAATAACATGCTGGCTGTTCTGCAGCCCCTGCTCACCCCTGGTTTTATTAAAGTCCAAAGTCTCCAACATCCCTAATGAGGACAAAAGGCTGGTAAGATGTGTGGAATCCGGGGCTGAAACCTCCAGAAAAGGGCAGTGCAGAGAGAGGACGTGGTCAAGGCGGCCACAGGGCCAAGCTGGGGCCTGGCTTTCCAGAGAGGGAGGGCAGCTAGCAGGAGATGCTGACTCTCTGTGTTTGCTTAGCTCCCATCTCTCTATTTACTCAAAATTAACCTATTTATTTTTCTTTATCAAATAAGCCAGTCCTCTGCTGCTCGCATGTGCAGGGGAACAATATCCCCCTCAATCCACCGAGCTAAGAGCTGCCAACTTCCCGTCAAGCCCAATCACCCACAGCAGAAGCCCCAGAGCTGGGCTCTGCACCCGGCCCCTGTTTCCTGTCTGCCTGCAGTTCACAGTGGGGTCTTGGGCCAGCCTGTCTGGGCCCATGGATGGACAGTAGAGTTCATGGCTGTGGCGGGGGGGGGGGGAACGGCACACTGCAGGCTCACCACGCATGCTCCCAGCTGCCACAGTCTGTGAACAGGGCAGGGATCCTGCAAAAAGGAGGGGGTCCAGCAGCTCAGTGCTCCCCTGGAGAGAGTCTTGCTTAAGAGCAGTTCACAGAGCCCTGGGTGATCCTCCTATCCCCAGGCAAGTCTCCCGAGTCCACAAACATATCAACTCAGACTCCCTGAAAAGAGACAGCCTGCAAAAGCACAGCTCTGCACCTGCAGGACTGCAGGGGGGAAATGGGGGCAGCAGCCTTCGTTCACTCTCCCTCACAGGGGCCCGAGGAGTTTCCAGAATTCTTCCCAGGGCCCTAACTTGATTATAACATTAATGTGGAGAGTTGCTCTTACAGGGTTCTTTTTGCTAAAATGTAACCATCCCTTTCTGCAGGCATTTGTGCGCTGCTGGACATCCGAGGCACCTGTAGGTGTAAGGCAAGGAAGGTGCCCCGAAAGGCCTCTCATCGGGTGCGAGGGGGGCACAGCTGCAGGGCCAAAGGGGCCCCTGTGACTCCTGTGAGCAGTTCAGGGGCAGGAAGCGCTGCAGGGATGCGGGGGAGAGATGCTCACTGTGGCTGGGCCCTGGGCGAGGGGCCCTGGGGGATGTGATGCAGGCAGGGGAGCATCCAAGCGAAGAGGAGGAGGGAAGGCATTTTAGCTAAAGAGACCAAAGCCATGTGGAGCAGAGGGTTGGGGTAGACAAGTCGAGAGGGAGAGAATCAGTTCGGGAAGTAAGACATGACCCGATTGTTGAGAGTCCCAAATGCAAGCTAAGATCAGCCTTGATTCCAGAAACCAAATAAGGGAAACCGCTGAGGGTTTGAGCCATGGCGTCGATATGGGAAAGTCTGGCACCAAAACACTCACCAGCCATGCAACCTTGAGCAAGTTACTTAACTTCACAAAACATCCATCTTTCTCCTGCATGCAATGGAAAGAGTAAGAGCATCTACCTTGTAGGGCTGGTGTGAAACTCACCAGAGTAATTGAGCACAGTGCTTAGCAGAGTGCCTGGCACACGGTCAGCATGCGGTAGGAGTTGGTTCCTATCACTGTGCTTGGGGAACCTGAAAGGCTCTCTGTAACTCTGAGCAGGATCCGACCTTGAAGGGTTATTAAGGGGAATAAAGGGAGTTGGGGCTTCTCCTTACACCTCAGTGCCTCTGTCAGAAATGGGACATTTAGCCAGATGCACACTGATCAGATCCCTGCCGCAGAATCGGTGCCAGGGCACAGGGCAGTTGCTGTGTGTCCATCTCTTGACCCAGGGACTAGGGGACAAGAGATGCACCCAAGGGAGATGGGTATCCTAGCACCTTCTTTTAACCAGCTATGCCCACTAGACCATCTGTGTGTGGGGACTGAATACTCTCCACAAAGCACAGTGCCCCTGGCAGGCACTGGCAAATATGAATGGGCGAGCAAATGAACAACTGGCCAAAGTGTGGTCCAAGGGACAGAGGAGTGCGGGTCACCATGGCATGCTTCCTAGGTGAGCTGGGGGGGGGCACCGCTCCAAGTGGACTGCAGGAGAACCAGCCTGAGCAAGAGCAAGACCCCGTCTCTACTATAAATAGAAAGAAATTAATTGGCCAAATAATATATATAGAAAAAATTAGTCGGGCATGGTGCCGCATGCCTGTAGTCCCAGCTACTCGGGAGGCTGAGGCAGAAGGATCGCCTGAGCCCAGGAGTTTGAGGTTGCTGTGAGCTAGGCTGACGCCACGGCACTCACTCTAGCCTGGGCAACAAAGCGAGACTTTGTCTCAAAAAAAAAAAACTTCCAGGGATCCTGGCCATGATGATTCTGGGGTCAGGAGAGGCAACAGAGTGCGTGCTCTGTATTGGTTTTATTTTGAAAGACCACTGTATTTAAGGAAAAAGGACAAAGTGATCCAAGGCCTGGCATCAAACATGGGATGGCGAGTGTATGTCTCCCTGGTTGGCAGCATGTCCTGAGTTGGGTGTCAATTCCTTGTGCTTCCAGCCCAAGGCCGGAAGTTAGAGTGCTGGGTATGTTCTGGGAGAGGCAAGGAAACTACTAAGGCAGAGGGATTGACAAAGAATGACTGAGCGGAGGGGCAGAAGAAGAAAAGAACTGCAGATCTGCCAGGAGAGGGGCCGCCTGAGGGCTAGAGCAGCTATCTTGTCCAGGACACTGTCATGACCACATGCCCAGACGGGGTAGGAAGTCAGGGGGTCAGTGACTGAGAAAGGTGAGCTGGAGGAGAACAGGGATGGACCACAAGGGGTTGGGGGTCAGAGGCTACAGCTGAGGGGTGCACACAGCGCAGGGCAGGCCAAAGCAGAATGGCAAGGACTAGGACCAGAATCTGGTTTAAATATCGAGAGGGAATATTGAAGGGGGCCAACTCTACTGAAGAGGCAATATTGTTATCGTTGCCTTTCATACCCAGTTATTCCCAGGGGCCCGTCCCTTGGGCCTTAAATACACAGCACTGCGGCTCTAAGAGCCGTCCCCGGCCCACAGTGCACCCACAGATGCGGCACAGGGAGTGAGGCCCGCGGCCCGCACTTGCTCCTTACCTACTCTCTTGTCTGCTTCTTTGCAGGAGAGCGTGGACTTGGGAGAGATCATGTTCTCCCTCTGCTACCTGCCCACAGCAGGCAGGCTCACCCTCACGGTGATTAAATGCCGGAACCTCAAGGCGATGGACATCACAGGCTATTCAGGTACCTCTCCTACCCCAGCGGCCTGCCAGCAGCCCAGACAGTAGGATTTGGAAGGGTGTTCGAGGAGAAGGGGAAAGAATTGTCAGTAATCTTAGAAGCATCAGCTCTGGAAGCAAACTAGATTCGATTCCAGTTCTGCCACTTCCTCGAGGTTAAATTATTACATGCCTTGGTTTTCTAATCTGCAAAGTGAGAATAAAAAAAGTGGGTTGCTTTCAGGATAAACAAGTTAATCCTTGTAAATGTTTAGAATTGTGGCTGACACATGATAAGCACTCAGTAGGCAGTATCTATTACTATCATTCTTTCTCTTAGAGGAGGGAGAGAGAGAGTAAGAAGTAAACATATAGGAGAAAAAAATTAAGGACAACCTCTCTAGCTCATATGAGGCCTCAGGACTTCCGGAAGGGTTATGTCAAGTTCAAGTGTGTAAATGTTTGTAGGTCCACACAGGCGTGTGGCAGCAGCCCTGAGTACGGGTAGAAGAAGACAATCCGCAGAAAAGCAAAGAGCATTAGTATTTGAGTTTCTGCTGCAGAACCCGCAGCCTCAGCCTCAGCACCCAGAGAGCCACAAGGAGTAGCAGGAGCACAGAAGCACGGTGCTCTCCAGCAACGAGGAAATGCTTACTTGGGGCCAGCTGCAGAGACCTGCAGGGGGGACATGGCGTCAGAGCTTTGAGCCTCTCCCATAATTCTGCAAGTCGTCGTTGGAGAAGGTGTTTGAGTTTGGAAATGACAGAGTTGCAGCTCGAGTCCTGGGAGCCTCCTTCCCCCTTCAGCTCAAACTGCTCTGAGGAGTGAGATGGGCTGAAGCCGCCCAAAGAAAGGCCACATAGAAAAGTCTGGGCTGCACTCGAGTAGCAAATGCAGGAAAAGGCTGGGCTTGTTTCCCCAGACACCTCCCCACCCAGCCCAAAAGGCTGTGCTGATGACTCAGATTATCAACGTCGAACCACTCAGGAGGTGCCTCTGAACTTGGCTGGGAACACGTTGGAGATTTTTCCTCATATTTCCTTTATATTCATTAATTATTCATGTCCTAGAAAACTCCTTAGTAAATAAATCACAGTTGCTGTGAAGAAGCGACGGTTCCGCTAAACACATGTGGGCCCAGATGCAGCCTGGTGCAGTTGGAAGAAGAGGAGGCATCAAGCTTTGCAAACGGAGGTTTCAGGGAAAGGCGGTCAGGAAACCCTGAAGTCATATATAGTCATGGAAGCTTTGGATCCCTCAGAGCCTATGCTCCAGCCTGCAGCCAGCTCCCTGCAGTGCTCCTGCCTTCCAGGCCAAGACCCCACCCCCGGATAGCGCCCACCCTCACGCTTCTCCCTCCACCGAAGGCTCCAGCACACGGCAAGACGCGGGGGAGAGATTAACGGACCTCTGCTGACCTGGGAAAAAGCTCGTAGGCAGCAGCAAGTCAGCTTCCCCCAAACACAGCCAATGCAGATTTCATTTTAATACCAAAATAAGTGCGTGCCGGGGACAGAAACTCACTGAGGACTCTGGAGGCTGCTGAGGGAAATAGGATTTTGCTGCCTAAGTCCCCACACCATCTTCTGTGGCGTAATTAAATTGATGCGCTAGGGAGGGGGTGCATGGCGAAGCCACTGAGGTCATCGAAAAGGCTGTTCCAAACTCGAGGGTTCAGGGTGAGAGTTTTATTCACGCTGAGTTCTAACCTCCCTCTCACAATGTCCCCCCCTTTTCTACCTGGATCTAGAAGCTGGAATTAAATCTCAGCTCGACTCTGAAGAGTCAGGGGTCCTCTGTTTGTCATAGTTTCTGTCTGTTCTGTTCACTGCAAGTGTCTGGAACAGTGCATGAAACATGATGAACGTTCAAAAATATGTATTGAATGAATGAATTTATTTACTTATGATTTATTTATAGCACGAGGAGCCCGACCTGAGGATGGTGCAGTACAGGCGTACATGCCAGGGGCCCCTCAAACGAGGTCTCCTGCTCTTGAGGATAAGTTTGAGGTTGCCTTCAGCCCAGACTGGTTTGACGTTAGACTAAACTGGAGAGTGACTAGAGCTTGTTAATTGCCAGTTCTTGAATTGTATGGCACTGACCTCTAAAACCAAGGATCTGCCTATTCTCCTTCATCTAAACTAGCCCTGGATCAATTCTCTAAGCCTATCTGCTGGAACTAAAAATAGTATGAAATAATAATAAGGACCAAGTATGCTGCAAAGGGGCGCTGAGTAAATCCACTCATCCCTACCACGTCTGCTCTGTCCTGCTCTGAGTCTAGTGGTCAAAAATGTGAGCTTTGGAGTCAGACAAACATGGGTTCAAATCTTAGGCACATTCCCTAATCTCTGTAACCCCCAGTTCCCCTATCTATGAAATGGAGAGGATGACGATAAATATTTTATAGGGCTGATGTGGAGTTTAAATCACATAATGTATATAAATCTCTGAACACAGTGCCTGGCACATACTAAATGCTGGATTTTGATGGCTCCCATGACAATGAGGCTGAAATACACAGCTGGTCTTTGTGTCCCCTCCCTCAGCTGCACAGAGCATCACAGGCTGAGAGGAAAGGACTTCCAAGATCATCTGGGGCCAGCATTCCACTAGACAGGGTTCTCTTTTGCCCCAGAGAACCTTAGCGAACAGTCTATCTGCTCAGCCTCAGGAATGCTGCTGAGAGTGTTGGCTCCTGCGAGGGAAATATGTCCACTGAATTGTACAAATTGGATATGCCTCGTAGGGGTGAACAGAGTTGGGGAACGGTGCTAAGGCATTTGCTCAGTGGCCCACGGGACCAGTGGCTCTGCCTGTACTTTTCCAAGCCTCGTGACGTGGAAACTTGCTCTGATGTGGGAACATACGGAAATTGGTAGAGCAGGGGACCAAGGTGGCACTTGAGCAACCTCAAGCCTGAGGACACGTTCCAAGGCCGTGTGCACCCTAACACAGTGCAAAGCTGCCACGTTACGGGTCTGGGGCTAGAAAATGGAGCCAGTGGAAAGCTGCCTTGTGCCTTCTCAAAACTTGTCCTTCCTTTTCACCGCACATCCCCTGAGGGAGAGCTCCTTCAAGTGGGTAGTCAGAGGTGGCAGGTTGATTGAACACCTCATGGTCTCCCCATAAACTCACGTGTCCCCGTGGTTAAGGCATAGCTGTCACTGTCACATTGATTAGTCAGCGGCTCGTTTAGATGCCTACGGAAAGGCCTTTAAGGCTTGGAGTTTCCGATCGGATGTTGCAGTTCTCTCTAGTTCCCACCGTAGGTGTGTGCCTCATCTGCCACCTGAACGATGCCAGGGAGTATGAGGGCCTGGCATGCGCTTGATGCCCGGGAGACAGAGCCACACGCCTGTGACTCACAGAGCCAGGGGAGCGGCTGCTTTGGCCCACACTTCCTGACAGATCCACAGGAGCCCTGGCTTCTTGGCAAAAGGGTGTCGCAGCACATCAGCGTCTCAAAAGCTATTATTACCTGTGAGTTGCCCTCCTGTTTCTTGAGCTGTGCGGCATAAATAACAATTATGATGGTGACCAAGACACCTGTGCTACGAGATACAATAGGTGTCACTTCACTTGGATGAGTGGAAAATTTCAGGGTAGAAAAATGACCATGAAATACCCATTCAGAAAACTAAAAGACGAAACAAGGATGGAAGTTCAATAAAAAGACATCTCTTTGCAGGATGGAGAGAATCCAAGATCCCACTGAGTAAGGAAATGTCAACCAGCTGCCCTGAGTGTCAGGAGATGGCCTCCCTCACGCCCCGGCCACAGCCCCCTTCTCCTCCACTGCTCACAGTGGGCAAGAAACGGCTTCCAGGGAAGCAGAGAGCGGGGCCACTTACCCCTCCTTGATGCCAAATGAAAATGAGATTATTGGGACATTGGGACCCCAAATCGTGTTGTCAGTTGGGGAGGACATGAACAACATTGTTCAGTGATTGTCACTGTTCATTTCACTCTGACACGTTGCTACTCCTCGGGCATCATTGAGTTCTATTTTTAACCCCCTTATCCTTTGGTTAATAATGGTGGCAAAAAAACAAAAAACAAAACAAAAGAGAAAAGGACTTTGTGTAGGTGAGAGAAATAGAGTGTCATTGTTCAGCTGCACCACACTTTGGAGCCGGCCGGCCACGGCAAGGCTGAGATTCAGGGCTGAGAATGGCACACCCACGGGCAGGTGCCATGTCAGGTTTGGGGCCAGCTTCTCCATTAGCGAAAGTCCATTAAGCGCTCTCCCAAGAACACCGAGGTAGCTAAAGACTGTGTTTATTAAGCACACAGTGTCCTCAGAGACAGGTGTGCTACATAGATCCAAGGTGGTTTAATTATTTTAACAACCCACTGATACCATCTGATGAGCAGCAGGCGGCCTAGGGCTTCAGTCCCTTGCCGAAAATGCTGTTCGAGAACATCTGTTTGACACATTTCCTTCCCTTCCCATGCCCTCATTGGCGCAGATCCTTATGTCAAAGTGTCCCTGCTCTGTGACGGGCGGAGGCTGAAGAAGAAGAAGACAACCATAAAGAAGAACACTCTCAACCCTGTCTACAACGAGGCCATCATCTTCGACATTCCCCCGGAAAACATGGATCAAGTCAGCCTGCTCATCTCGGTGATGGACTATGATCGGTAGGTGCGCATCCCAGAGGGTCGTGAGCCCATCCCTCACCCCACTCCAGTGCAGCGCAGGGCCCCATGGCCTCAGACCTTGCGTTCAGGGCTCAGGCGCCCATTGGCCTCCAACCTGGCTCCACCCAAGAAGAGCTCAGGTGTTTGAGGAAGAGCATGGATTCTGCCTTCACAAAGGGCTCAAGCTTCTCCTCCCAGTTGGCCTATGTCCATCAGGGGCAGCTCCACCCACCACTTTTCCTAAACTCACCCCCAAGTATTCCCATTCTTCCATCTGGCACTGAGTCCTGTCATCTGTCCTTGAAATGCCTCTTTGTCCTGTCTATTGCTGCTGCTGCTCCCACTCTTACTCTGGATGGCTGTGCAGCCACTTAGCTGACCCCTGCCTCCATCACTTCCTAAGGACACCCCTCCCTAAACAACTACTGTTTTCCTCTACCTGCTTTTCTCAAGAACCATCAATAGCTCCCATTGTCCAGGATTTTCCCCTAGACTCTCAAGGGTTTCCATTATCTGGCCCCAGCACATCCATCCAACCTACTTCCTCAGATATATTTTTGCTCTTCTGCTTATCCTGCTCTTCCATCAAGGCTGGCCCAGAAACATTTTTCAACTACTCTAGCCCCGGTGACTCCATCCTCCAGTTGTCACTTTAGCTAAAAGGAATAGAAACCATGCAAAAAAGCCTCGGTGCAGGATTTTTAGCACAAGTTCTCGGGCATAGTAGTAGGTGCTTGATGAACATATTGAGTAATGATTGATGGTCTTGCTGAGTGAATAAATCACATGCCAGCCTCTGGTGGTATCGAGACATGGTGCTCAGAGCAGGCTGATTTATTTGCAAATGCTGGTGTCTCAAGCGAGGTTGTAATGTGCTGGCCGAGTCAAATAAGGGAAGAGACTTAAACTCTCACACTTCCCAAACTCAGGCCATTTGCCCACCATTTCCTAAGAGCCCAAAGAAGTTTACAACCTCATCTATCTGTGCCCAGCATCCACCAAGGAGGCTGGGCGAAGTTTCACTGCCACTGGCATCAAGGCCTGCCCAGCATCTGTTCTCAGAGCTCAGAGTTCTGAGTTAGACCCACTGGGCACAGTCTCGCCCCCGGGACCTCCCTTTCCGAGAGCATGTCTGGGAGTCGACACGGGGACCTTTCTTTCTCCTGCAGAGTGGGCCACAATGAGATCATAGGAGTCTGTCGTGTGGGGATCAACGCCGAAGGCCTGGGCAGGGACCACTGGAATGAGATGCTGGCGTACCCACGGAAGCCCATTGCACACTGGCACTCCCTGGTGGAGGTAAAGAAATCCTTCAAAGAGGTGGGTGAGGTCGCCTGGCCCTCGGCATGTTTGCTGCATGGCAGTGTGGGCTGGAGAATGGCAGTCGGCTGCTAAAGACCCTCAGCCCCTCGTGGGAAGGTGGGCATGGCCACATGCTTCTCGCCGGTGTGTAACAGGCCGGAAGGAAGTGGAGGAAGGAGGTGGAGGCTGCTTGACAAAAATCCCCTGAGTTGGGCATTTTGAAAGCAACACGGAGTTCTTAATGGAAAATAAGAACTTTGAAGAAGCCTTCCTGGCAGACCACTGTGCCAGGCCTGAAATGCTTTTGCAAAGGCCCTGGCCAAATCAGTCCTTTAGGAGAAAGCCCCAAGGGGGTGAGATCAGAGCTTGGCAAGAAATCTAGCCCTGTTGGAACAGTAAGTTCCCTGAGGCTCAAGCCAGGCCGTCACTTGGCAGTTTTCACTGCTTGGATAGAGATCGCCAAAGAGCAAATTCCTCCTCTTATGAACGTTGGTTCTCACCATTGTTGGGAGTGGACTCAGGCTGCCATGCTTTCTGGCTAACGGCGTGGGGCTGGACTGGGGCCGGATTCTACCAGAAACGTAACGGAGAGAACACTGGGCTGGGAGTCCTGAGACTTGGGCTGCAATCTTGGCCCATGCTGACTTGCTATATGATCTTGACCCTGTCACTTCTCTCTCAACTGCAAAGACATGTTTCTTAGACGGATATTCACAGTCTGCCCCACCCTCCACTGAACCCCACCAATTTAAAATTCTGTGATCTGTCACCTCCGTGGTCCCCTGCCCTGCTTTTGCTCAAATGGGTTGGGGTGTAGGGTGACCAGGAAAGACTTAAGCCTGATTTTCAATGTCTTGCTCCCTAGTCCATATCCTAGAAAGCAGGGTGATCATTCCCTCATCTTAACAGGCTTCAAACCCAGCAAGTCTAGAAAGCTGGAGCATCTACTAACACAAAAATAAGGCTCTATCCCTTCTACCACATGGCCCCTCAGCTTAAAGTCAGAGTCCCCTTGAAAACAGAGCAGTCCCCTCCCCCACTCTGTGGTGCAGCAAGGTCAGGGCGGCAAACCTGGAGCACCTGCCGGACCCTTTTCCTTCTCAGGGTGGACAAGCCCATTTCCACTGTCTCCAGCAGTGTGAGGAGCCTCCAGAGAGAAGGAGGGCTGAGGGGACAGAGACCTCCGAGAGCCAGGCTGATGGACTGACCACCCCAGGGAGGCATGTGCTTTGCGAAGCTCCTGCCCTGTGGCCTTTGAAGCAGCATCAAGGAGTGAAAAGATGCAAAGTTCCTGTCAGCTGAGGCCTCATGTTTCCTGTGGTTGCCTTGATTTTACCACAGTTGTAGAGCTTTAATGAGGGAAACTGGTCCCTTAGCTCTCCGGCTTCCCCCGGGGAGCCCCGACCCCCCTTCTGCAGAGTGTGGGTGAGGCACCCCCCACCAGCACCCCCACACACACCTATTCAGGAGGCTGCTGCCGGGCAGGACTCGGACGCAGGACAACCTGGAGGCAGCGCTGAATGCTACATTGACTCAGCCCGAGGAGGGGTCGTGACAGCGCCCTGCTTTTTTTTTAATCATTCGAGATATTTAAGAATAGAATAAGTATGCTAAACTGTTTAGGAGGGTGTAGGGGCAGGGCATGGAATGAGAGCTAAGGGGCCCCTAGAGGGCAGTGAGGCCTCGGGCAACTCACTGCCCCACTCTGGACTTTGGTTTCCTCCTTGGTAGAATGAGGGGTCGGCCCCTCCCACCTCTGCTCCTCTAGGAAACTCTGACCCTCAGTGGTGACCTGTGAGCCCACATCTTGCACGGTGACTGCCTTTCTGATCTTAAACCTGCAGCAACCCATCGCTGTGGGCAGGCTGGGCCTGCCCGTGGAAAATGGGAAGTAACCGAGAGAACAGCGGCAGCAGCTGGGGGCGGGTGCAGGTACCACACGGGGGCCGGGACTTGGCCCAGAATCCCTCTCCTTCGTGATGAATACAACCTAATTAAGCCAAATAATTGATTCCAAGTCGCTGTTTCTTTGAGAATTCTGGCTCACTAGTCCAGACTACAAAAGAAAGATAAAGTAGAATTGAGCCCTTGAAAATGAATATTTGATGAGACAGTAAAGGGAAAGTAACAGTATATGGAAAACGAAAAGAGAATAAATTGATGTCCTTTGGGTTTTCTTTTTTCTTGACCTTGCACACTGAGCTCCTAAGACCACCCCTCCCCAACTTGCTGTCCCCCCTTTTCTGCTCAGCTGATCATTTCTCCCTATGAAGAAGCAGAAAATGACATTCGTCTTGGCAACTTAGGATTTCAACCATTTGCTTAACATTAGTCCTGACACTTTTAGCACCCACCATTTAAATATTTTTATAAAAATGCATCTAAAAACCCACCAGGCTAATGTTAAGTAAACACTCTGTGTTCGTGCGATGTATTGTACTTGAATATACATCCTCCCGATCATACTTGGGGCTCACAGCCTGTCTCCTTTTCATTCCTGTTGTGGACATTGAATAAGAGCCTTGTTCCTGAAACTTGTATCTCCCGTCTGTATCATACGCAAAGAAATCTTTTCCAGCTCCCAGGAAAATACACGGAATCATATCTGTAAAGAACTCGGTATTTATCTTGCACCCTTCTTAGAGGAGTTTCAAGGGCTGTGATCATTTCTTTTTTATTCATAAGAACAGAGGACATACCATGCTTGCTTGCTTGCTTGGGGTTTAAAATATGGTGCAGGGGAAGAAATCAACTGAAAAGGTATCTTTCCTTTCTGGGATTTTTTTTCATGAATAAAACTGTATTGAGCCATCACAAGCACCCTTCCCCAGCTGCGGCGCCAGGCCCCTTTCCTCTCAGCACTCCTGCCAGGGCCGCGTGTCATTGTTGGCACCACACACAGGGCCCAGGTTGACCAGCGCTCTTCTCTAAGGCATCTGATTACAGAGGGCCAAGTTCAGATCATCTGCCAGAGATTTTAGATCTCTGCTGGAACATGACCCATTTCAGAACAATAAAAGACCTTACTGGAACACAGCCATCCCAGAACAATCATCTTCCTGCAGGCTGGGGACAGGTTCTCTGCTATTTTAGAGCTACCGTAAGCCTCCCGGAATCATTTACCTTCCCATTGTTCATGAACCCCACCTCGTCCCTTTGTTCATCTTCATAGGAAAAATCAGGGACTAGCAGGGGAGCCAGTGTTCCTTCTTCATTTGTTCCCGATAAACAATTATGCTCCCTGCAACTACTCTTTGGGCTGTTATGTAAAGGGAAAAAAGGTACTCTGTGTAGCCATTTCATGTTTTCTCCTCTGACCTGGCCTATCAATCAGGTTGTTTAAGTGGCATGCTAACCCAGGGAGGAAGCCAGTAATTACAACGTACCTTCCACCAACATTAAAAGTTATAATGGAAAAAGTAGAACTCCGAAAATGAAGGTCTGTTAAATGAAAGCATTAGTAATCATCTCATGTCACCTTCTGGTTAAGAAACACTGGAGTCAGAAGCCACAGTGGGCTCAACAATCAGGCATTTATTTATCTAAAATATTTCACCAGGGAAACCCTCGGTTGTGATTTCACTCACGCGGACGCTGCAAGCAGAGAGACTGCCACCCGGAGTTAGGAGTAAGTACCTGGTGTGGTCCCCAAGAGGTTAGGGTTCTTATTACACTTTGTGTCTCCTCCTACTGTGTCCAAATGCTAAGATAGCAGCAGGATGAAGTGGAAAGATCACAGAGTCAGAAGACCTGGTTTCGGGTCCTGGCTCTGCTCCTAACTAGCTGTATATTGACTTCTCTGTGTCTCTGTTTTCCTATTTGCATCTTCCTAGGAAGATGCAAGGAGGGCTAGACTGGATGGTCTCCCAAGCCTGCCGTGCTAAGATTGCTCAGATCTAGGTAATGGTGGTCATCAATACCCAACTATCCAGGCTTTGCTTAGTTGGCCTGCACAGGGGTTATAAAGAGCCCGTGAAGAATTGGGCCCAGAGAAGGGTAACAGAAGCTTTCCTTAAAATTGGGAGCATTAAGGTCATTCAGTAGGTCTGGGTTGCTCATTAACCGTATGGGTTTTCCATCTATTCCATAGGTGAAGCTGGATGACAAATGGCCTTAGGTGGCTCAGCCTATGGCTGAGCTATATGCCTTAGGTGGCTCAGCCCTGTCTAGAAATAGCTGTGTTGAGAAGGGAACCACATACTCCCCCACCCCACCCCCTTACATGCACAAGTCTATAGTTGCAGCTTCTACTCAGCCCCATCTCTCCACAGTGGGGACCCTCCATGCTCATAAGAAGCAGAATAGGCTGCACTTCAGGTTCAGGAAGGTCATCTTGACCACCTGCCTAACCTGTCTCTCTGGAGCACTGTCCTGCAGGCACCTATGAGAATACCGAGTCTCCTCAGCCCACGCGAGGCTAGCGCGAGCAGTGGACGCTGACTCACTTTGAAGTTATGCAGCTTCCAGACAGGTCAAGAACATTCACGGGCCCAGATCCTTGCCCAGGAAACATTGCTGTACCTAAGACTGATTTTGCATTTAAAGAAGAGTTGAATGGCTCGAGTGCATCATCTTCAGCCCTCTCCTTCACTCCATGCTCCTCATTGCATCACCCGCTTTCACAGAAGGGTTGGAGTCTGGCTGAGAGGAGGCAATCTGTGAGGAGAGCTGGGGAGGAGGAGGAGTTGGAGAAGCCCAAAGGGTCTCCTCACACCTCCTACCTCTTCACAAGTGGGGTGCAAATGCCCATAGAAAGAATTTAGACCAAAGAAGAAAGCCCGAAGCTAAAGCAATATCAGGGTGTTAGCTGTACTAACAGCTCCCAGACAAATTGCTAATAATTCATGATCGTGGGCTCTTGGCAGTAAGGACATACTCTGCAGACTGCCTCTTTCGCTGCTAACGTAATACAATTTTCAGTGTGAAAAATGGCTAAAGCACTCAGAAATGGTCCAGTCATAGCTCTTCATTAAAACACACACAGAGACACACAACACACACACATACACATACACACAACAAAGCAAGCTTTAATTATCTCTGCAGTAGGTCTTTTTGAAAATCAGGTATTCCAAACTAGAAGCTCTAAGCTGTTTTCCTTGGTTTTGCATGGCTGACAGCAAAATTCGAGAAAGCTTATGAGAAGCTGGGGAAAGTGAAATCAGTGCATGGGCCAGTTAAGTTTTGCAAGTTGAAATGTAAATTCCCTTGGCGATCAATGACCGGATTTTTCTCCTCCTCGCAGTGGCAGGGCCGAGCTGCCAGCTTTGACAGTGAGAGCTCCTGTCCGTCTCCGAAACCACCTCCGACACCATGAGCTGCACAGCCAAGCAACGCAAACGGGACTCAGCAATGCTCTTTTCACACTTGTTCAACCGTCTAAACACAGTGTCGTGCAGTCGCGGCGGCAGCTGCGGCCGTCTGTCACTCAGAGTCTTACCTGCTCCTGCGCAGGTCAAGGCTGAAACGCTTGTCGTGTGGTCAGATCTGTCTTAGTCTTTTCTGTCTCCCAAGGTGATGTTTTTGTGGTTTTCACTTTTTATGGGTCTGCAGTCAAGAAAAGAAGGGGAAAAAAAAAAGAAAAACAATAGGAAAAATCAAAGGGTGAGAGCCCAGAAGCTGGATCTATAAAATATGATGTAAAATAGCAGTAGAGGTGGATTTTCAGGAGAGGTGGATTGAGTTTCTGAAATTTTGTGTTTCCACCAAGCTCTGCAACCCTGGAGAAGGAGGAGGTGGGGTGGAGCTGTGGCTGCATTTTCAGTGCCCTACAGAGCGGCACAAATCAATCCTGGAGCCTTTAGGGGCCTGATTATTATTCTTTGAAGCTCTTCACTGGTGGGACATAAACTAAGATGGGACTCCTGGTCCCGTGTTGAAATCACGAGACCTCTGAGGTGTTCGTGAGCCTTCAGCTGGTGTGCAGGGTTGCCCTTGGCTTTCTTCGTGAATCGAAAACGTCCTGATTCCTCGTGGGAACTTAGTCACTTTCTGTAGGAACGGTTCTGCTGAAACTAAACATGCCATATGTTTTCTGACGCACCACAGTTAATGATCACATTTGTTTGAAAACAGAATCTTTGTTCTCAAAAATAACCTTCATTGTAAAGAAAGAGAGGCACATATGTTCTGGAATGATTTCTGTGTTATACATAGCTTTATAATTCCATGAAGTATCAAGCAGCTTTTTAAAATGCCTAAACAGATCAAAGAAAAACCTAGATAAAAATGTTCTTTTCTGAATGGGGAATTTTGAAATCCAAGTAGCAGTCTGAGTCCATCTTTCTATGAAGAGTATCTGCTTGATTGAAACTAAGTCAGCGTAAGCCTATTTCAGCCCCATTGACTCTGGGACAATATTTATCTTAAACTTTAGTTCTATAAATTACTAAGTACTTCAGTGTTGTTTGTTTCAGTGGTTGTGAGGGTTTTTTGTTTCCTTTAGATCTCTACCTTAGGCCAAGCTCAGTTAGGGGAAAAAAACATTTGAACTGCTCTGTATTGTAATAGCACATTTCTGTTAATAGTGGCCTTCCCACCACCCCCTCAGACAGGGTGATCTGCTCAGTCTCGGTCTGTACAGCCCTGGTAGGCACACGGAGGGGAGTTTCTACTTCAGCTTGTGACTACAATGCCAGTTTCCAGCTGTGTGTATGACTTGCAAGAGGCAAGTCTGCTAGAGAACCCCTTCTTTCAACAACAGAAGGTCAAGAACATAAAAACTATTCACACACCTTGTGTCTTATTCTTGATATTTGTCACATGCTGTAGAAGCAGCAACAATAAATAAATAAAACAACCCTCATTTTAAGCCAAGTTACCAGGTTTCTTTGCTGATATAACTTGGGGTAATGTCTTCTAGCACTAAAAATGACCAGATTGGGCATGAGCTAACAGGATATTGTGGCAAAAGAAGTTTTCAACTTATAAAAGTAAATGTGGATAAATCTAAATTCCACCCTGTACTGAGCCTCAGGCTAGGGACTAATGTATAAAGATCACTTTCTACCCCAAATGTCTTGTGATTGACGGGCCTTCCTAGTCAGGCACCCCTGCATTTGGATGTTCTCTTTTTTTTTTTTTTTTTTTTTTATTTTATTTTGAGTTTGTTGCCCAGGCTAGAGTGAGTTCCTTGTGCTTGACGGACATTGGGGAAGAGGATGTTCAAGTGATCCTCCTCCCTCAGCCTCCAGAGTAGCTGGGACTACAGGCGTGCGCCACCACGCCTGGCTAATTTTTCTCTTTTTAGTAGAGACGGGGTCTTGCTCTTGCTCAGGCTGGTCTCAAACTCCTGACCTAAGGTGATCCTCCTGCCTGGGCCTCCCAGAGTGCATGAGTCACCGAGTCCATCCTGGATGTTCTCTAGAGAGTAAAAAAAAAAACACCTAAGGTCATGACAAGACTTTCAGAAGATGACAAACTTCATTATGTTTCTCAATGCTTGACTGACCCCATCAAGATGGCCATCTCGGCTAGTGAGCAGAAGCTGGGGTGTTGCAGCAAACAAGAGGACAATTGAGTTTCCTGGGTCACAAGGAGCCCAGAAATTAGTGTGAGAAGGTCCTTCTAGAAGTGAACTCAAAATCCTTGTCCAGCTATCATCTTTAAACCCTTAGGTAGTGAGGATACCCATTCTAAACTAGGGGCGTGTGGTCAGTTTGAATCATGGACTAGTGTTGCTCGTCTGAGAGATTCCTCTTAGAACCAAGAAGCTATCTCACGTGAGTGAACATCCCAAAAGTTTCAGAATTTCATTTCCTGAACTGATTATGGCTAGCCCTGACACCACTCTAACCAACCGCTCCCACTCCTGCTCCAGCAATCTCGGTAAATTCCTACAGGCTTGGGATCCCACCCCAAGGAAGCTTTTAGTTCCTGGAGCCTCACACCCTTAGGAGAGATTGGTCTCAACCCAAATCATGAATGAAACCTGAACATCAGCCAATGTCATTATCTAGCCCAGTATTTCTCCCTCGCAGATGAAAATAAAATGAATTACCAAGTTGATTCATTTGGCTTCCTTTGGAGTGCAAAACCTCCTGGGTTGCTGTGAGCTTTGCTGAAGTTGCAATAACCAGAGCCGTTTGCACATAGATTTTTTTTAACCCCACAAAGTTCCTTTCTCCTTTATTTAACAGTAGTTCTGGGCTGAAAGATGCCCCCCTCTCCTTCTGCGCTTACCCAGGATGTTAATTAATTGCATCGTCACTTAAAAAATTATGTTGTTAATTACTGCCTTGTGTCTTCCCACCCCTGTCACAGCCTGGAGTTTTTATTCAATTAAATCTCTGTCTCTTGCCCATTTCTCCTGTCATTTTATGTTCCTGAGGTTTAGCAGTCAGCACACACACATGACAAGGCAAAGCTTTTATTTTTTTTTTTTTTTGAGACAGAGTCTCGCTTTTGTTGCCCAGGCTAGAGTGAGTGCCGTGGCGTCAGCCTAGCTCACAGCAACCTCAAACTCCTGGGCTCGAGCGATCCTTCTGCCTCAGCCTCCCTGGTAGCTGGGACTACAGGCATGTGCCACCATGCCCGGCTAATTTTTTATATATATATCAGTTGGCCAATTGATTTCTTTCTATTTATAGTAGAGACGGGGTCTCGCTCTTGCTCAGGCTGGTTTTGAACTCCTGACCTTGAGCAATCCGCCCGCCTCGGCCTCCCAAGAGCTAGGATTACAGGCGTGAGCCACAGCGCCCGGCCCAAAGCTTTTATTTTTAATCTTTGCTTCACTAGATAACCACTTCCCTTCTCTCAGAGGTAAATGGAAGGGCTTGTTTGGTTTTTGTCCTGCCCAGGGAATACCTGCGCGCTCCGACAGGCTGGAATCCACCTGTGCTCGTCAGGATTACAGCTCCCAGCGCCTGCGGTGCGCGGTGCGCGGGCTCGGCTGTTTCCTCAGCTGCTCAGCTCGGCGAGCAGCCCCTGCAGGTGCGGAGGCCACTCCAGGGAAGTGGGTCACACACTCCCGTCTGGAAAGCACGATGCTGCCGCCCCGCAGCACAGTAATCCCGCTAACCCTTGTGAAGCACAGCTCGGCAAAGCCACGGGAGAACGCCATTGCAGCCTCGAAAATTAAAAAAGAACATTCTAACTTAACACAGAATCTCCTCTCTGCTCACCTCCAGCTTTTAATTACTGTAGGGCAGCCCGCAGGGAGGAGAGTGGAAGGCGCCATCCGTTCCTGCACGTCTGCATCTAAATCGCTGGCGCGCCACCGCGCCAGGCCGGGGCCCAGGGACCGCGCCGCTGAGAGGAGCACTCTGCCGCCTGCGGAGGCAGCTGCCCCTTGCTGGTGCCTTCCCTGCATCAGGTCAGGGCCAGCCAGCAGCATTGCGGACGTGCTTGCTGCTGCTCGTCTCCCTAAATGTGCCCGGCAGGCAGTTCGGGGGGGTTCTGCTGCCTTCACGGCCTTCAGATCTCAGTGGCTGGAAACAACAAACGCTTGTTTCTCATTCACGCTGGGGGCCGTCACGGGCCAGCAAGGGGGCTCTGCTATCATATTGACTCAGGGGGGCTCAGGATGGCAGAGCAGCCAACATCACAAACATTGCTCACTGCCACGCCTGAAGGAAAAGAGCACTTGGAAGGGTCTCAGATCGGTCCCAATACTCTGGCCTAGAAGTGGCACATGTCACTTTCCTTCACAGCCCATTGCCAGAGCTACTCATGAGGGCCTCCCCAAACGTAAGGGGCGCAAGTGCCCAGGGAAGAAGAACTGGAAATACTGAGTTCACAGCACTTGGGAAGACCACAGTGAGTTTCAACAGGCCTGTGGAGGCTGACAGCTACTGAACCACAGAGCCAGAGACACTAAGATAGGAAAGTAATCGATCTTTTAGTCTAGTAAAATGGCAATAAGTAGCCAGGCGCAGTGGCTTATGCCTGTAATCCTAGCACTCTGGGAGGCAGAGGTGGGAGGATCGCTCAAGGTCAGGAGTTCAAAACCAGCCTGAGCAAGAGCCAGACCCTGTCTCTACTAAAAATAGAAAGAAATTAATTGGCCAACTAAAAATATATAGAAAAAATTAACCGGGCATGGTGGCACATGCCTGTAGTCCCAACTACTCGGGAGGCTGAGGCAGAAGGATCGCCTGAGACCAGGAGTTAGAGGTTGCTGTGAGCTAGGCTGACGCCACAGCACTCTAGCCTGGGCAACACAGTGAGACTCTGTCTCAAAAAAAAAAAAAAATGGCAATAAGTAATGACAGTTCAAGGGAGAAAGTGGAAGTTCAGTAAGGAAAGTGGAATAAAAGGCTATAGAAGCCCAAGAAAGAACATCACAGCTCGGCAGCATGAGTGGCAGCTTCCAGAAGGAAGTGGCAACTGATCTAGGCATTAAGGATGAGTGGGATTTGGAGGCTTGAAGCTTGTGAGGAGGGGGCATATTCCAGGCTGAGGGGTCCATGTAAATAAAGGCCCCAAGCAGAGGAGTTCCTAGGGCTGCCATTACCCTAAGTCCAGGGGAGATAGTGAAGCCCCTGGGTCCAACTGCCACCTTGTTGGGGGTCAGCCCAGGCAGACTGCAGGACTTCTGCCTGAGGAGCCCTGTTGTCCCCTGCCCTAAACCCCACTCTGCCAGGCTCTGGCCCTGGCCCCTGCCTACTTCTTGCCAACCACCTCCAGTGGGAGCTGGACCTGCTGCTCCTCTCTCCATTGCTGGCTTGGCGCCTGCTCCCAAATAGACCAGTCACCTGGAACTGCAAGAATTGCCCTATTTTGAGAATCAGTCTAGCTGCTTCAGCCTGTTCACTTAACCAGCCCCTACTCCCTGGAAGATTTCTCAGCCAGAAGCCGCTCAAGGCTTTATGATCTGTGCTGCATCCTGCTCCCCTTCAGGGTGAGAACTGCCCAGATGTCTGACTCCCCGGTAGAGGGAACAGGACCAGCCTCTCCCCAGCTTCCCTCCAGCTGGTTCACATCAGCAAGCCTGTGACAAAAGACTGGGGGCAAAGAGACAGGGAGACAGTTGCAACAGTCCACTTAAGAGGGTGCCGAGGGCTGAGCCCAGCACAGGCAGTGCACTGGACACAGGACACCTGCATGAGATGGGGTCGTCACAGAGGGGAAATGCAGCAGGGCTGATAGCTGAGCTAATCTGGAAGACAGGGAGAAGGGAGCGGGATTCGTAAATGTCGTATGTTTCTATGCCCTAACTGAGTGTTCTGTGCCTTCCACAGAAGCCAGAAACTCAGCAGAGCCAGAGAAAACAATGAGTCCAGTTTGAGCCATACTGGCTGGAGGGATGTCTAGCAGACAGCTGCAGTTCAAGATGCAGCTTGCAGGGAGGCGTAAGGCGTTAGCTTATAAAAGGCTTGCACACCCAAATGAGATGGGAAGGCAAGAGGCCGACACGGCTAAGCTAGTACCAGTAGAAAAGGAGAGCTTCAAAAAGGTTCTTCGGGAACCATCAACATTTAGAGGTCAAGGAAAAAGTAAGTGATGTGAATAATAATGGAGAGCTGCCCAAGCAAAGCTGATCGATGAAAATGCTGATGAACAAAAACAGATCAATTTAGGGCTCCCTAAAATGAGTCTTCATAACAAGCTAATGCAAGTTGCTTACATATAACTCAATTCACAAAAGTCCATTTTCCCCCATGTTTCTAGGACCCCAACTCTTTCTTTCTCCCCTCAACTGTGCCCTTGACATTTTTTTAATTGTGGTAAAATATACATAACATAAAATTTACCATTTTAACCATTTTTAAGTGTATAGTTCAGTGGCATTAATTACATTCACATTGTTGTGCAACCATCACCACCGTTCATCCACAGAACTTTTTTCATCTTGCAAAACTGAAACTCCTTACCCATTAGACAATAATTCCCCATTCTCTTCTCCCAGCTCCTCAAAACCAACATTCTATTTTCTGTTTCTGAATGAGACTACCCTAAGCACCTCACGAGTGGTATCACACAATGTCTGTCATTTTGTGGTTGACATATTTCACTTAGCATAATGTCCTCAAGGTTCATCCATGTTGTAGCATGTGTCAGAATTCCCTTTCTTCTAAGGAGGAATAATAATCCATTGTATACGTGTACCCCATTTTGCTTATCCATTCAGCCGTCAATGGACACTTGGGTTG